TCGAGCAAGCCTAAGAGCGACGCCTGGACTTCAGATGATGGCAATGCAAGGCCTCCAGAGCTGCTAGAACCAGCGAAAGAGGATGAAACGGACGCCAAAAAGTACATGCGTTCAATAGATATGACACCTCGAAGTCCTACGCTGGAGGAACAGTTTTCGGCAGTGCATTTGCCCCAGCCTCTAGATGCGGGAAGCAGCGACGTATCGGGCACAGACGGCGCGACGATTGGCACCGGACGTAGCGCAGCATCCTCAAAGACGGCTACCCTTGCGCGAGAACTGGCTGCTCAATCCACATCCACAGGCCTCGCTCCTCGTGTGGTCAGAGACAATATGGCCATCACAAGCACCCGGGTGCCAGGGTCCATCGTGGGTAGTAACAAGGTGGACACGAGCAGGTCCGCGTATCGAGTGATGGATGAGCCCACGGCAGAGGAGAAAGCTAGAGGATTTACAGAGTACGAAGAACGTAGCGGACCTGGTCGAGTGCCCGCGTTGCATATGGATCGGACAAGCCAGGCTGGTTGGAGGAAACCCCGAGTGGCAGACGAATTCGTGGCGGATCCGAGGATTTGGAGACCATTGAGGCTGGTGAGAAGGACGGACCCCACTCAGATGCTCATACTGTGCGCCGGATTAGAGCTCGACAAGGCGCAAGCCGCAACGATGGTGGCAGCTAGGTCGAAGGCGGTTGCCGCCAGCATGCTCGAGGGGGACACTGCAGAGCTCTTGAAAATGTTTGGAGATAGCGAAGGTGCCAAGAACCGAGCGGGGCTTGGCGCTTATTTCGTCCCGCCTGCTACAAAAGGCGAGGGAGACGCTCGTGCAGAGCCTAATCTCAGTCGGAGGTTGGAGATGCCGTCGTTTGAGCAGAAGACGTCAGGAAGGAGAGCAGCTCTAAGAGCGGTGATTGCTGGCTTGGAATACTGTAGGTGGGAAGAGGAAGGATTCGACAAGGTCGTCATCGGCACGAGCGAATGGTGGATCGTTTCTGCAATCACCAACGAGTGAGTAGCAGTGGTCAGATCAAGGTTACTGGCGGACACCTAGGCTGACTTGTGAGCCTCCTCGCCCAAACAGCATCTGGACCTGGCGTCGAAACGGCTGGACCTTGACTGAAGGAAGCGACATGGGCATGCCCGGGGACAGCGTCCCGGACAGGGATCTGTGGGAGCTCTTGGATAGCGTGGTGAAGGAGTACGAAAAGCTCGAGTGAGTCTGTCGTCAGTGTGCGCAGAACGATGACTGGCTTCTGCCTCGCCGTCGCTCATCGTCAGCTACTTTCTCGCCCGCTTTGCAGCTTCACAGTCAGATTTTGGCTCTTGCCTCGCAGCGAAACTCGTCCGGCAAAGGAGCTGGCCGAGGAAGGTGCTGTGAGTGGCTTGACCTTTCTGATCTATAAAATGGCCTGTCTAAACGCCCATTCTTGTCCCTCGCGCCATTCAGCTCAAAGACAATCAGCAACCTGGACTGGTCAAATGGCGAAAGAAGCGACACGAGGAAGCTTAGTGCCAAGGCCAGCTGTCCCATCGGTGTCAACACACTACAGTTCCGGTCCTCTCTCTGCACGCACATTCATAACCGGGTTTCTCATGTGTAATCTCATTCATTGAAGCGAAACGCTCCACCATAGTGAGCACCAAGTTACAGCGGCCTGATTCACTCACTGATGTGGTGCAGTGATGCTTGCCTTGGCAATTCGATGCCTCAGCGCTGAATTCCGAAGCAAGCGCATCCAGGTCAGCGAATGCGTCGCAGCAAGGAAGCAGAGAACAATCACGGCACAGAGTCTCGATCAGCAAGCGCTTGAAGCGCTTGTTACAATTTGCTCTTCAGCGCTCTTGAAGAGCTCAGGGTAAATCTAGAGCTTTTGATATGGATTCATCCGGGAGACGCATACATGCAGCGCTCTGAACACTCACAGCTGTCCTCGGTGACCGAAGCGCAGCGAACCTTGCAGCCTGAGAAGAGGCTGCGAGTCCCAGTGCAAAGCATGTCAGCATTGGCAATGAGCGCACGATGAAGCAGCTCACGCAGTGACCGAGATTGAGCCTCAGTAACAGCAATTGGATATTAACGTCTTCTCCGCATGTGTCATGATCAGACTAGTTGAAATGGTATTGTTTCATCGCCGGCTGGGAGCGATGCAGAGCATGCATGAACT